CCAACCACGGGAGCAGGGACTGAGGCGGTGTCCCAAAGGGCTCCCAGCACCCCCTCTTCCCCTCTCAGCCCCTTTTCCTCTGCGTTTTCCCAACTTCCAGCTCGCCCCGCATTTCCCAGCTCGTCCCGTGGGATCTGGATGGGGAAACGGAGGCACGGGATCTGATTCCTTTGCTGTGAGGACTCCGCAAGGACAACGGGGCAATGTCACGGGACTGCCCAGAAGAGGAAGTGTCGGAGCGTGCGGCAAAACGCGGCCATCCCGAGGGAGACCGAACAGGAAGCAAAACTCACGGGGAATTTCGCCGTTGGGTTTTGAGGAATTGGAACGATTCTCCAAAAGAGAGGGGAGGAACAACTCCACGACTCCTGCTAACGAGGCTGCAGGGAGCAGTCGGGGCTCCCTACAACTCCCCTGCATTCTAATAAAGCTCTGCCTTCTCCCCATGGCTCTCCCTCCTTCAGATGTGGCTGTTGCCAATGAGCGCTGTGTGGCTGGGTCGGGCTGTAAGAACTGCAGGGCTGTGGGCAGAGCCCCCTGTGAAAGGAGGAAGATAAAACCTGAGTGGTTTTAGTGCTGCTTCAATCCCTTTTTGTAGACCAAAAGAGAAAGTCCACAGCTGACAGAGGAACTCTTCGGTGAACTGAAAACCTTTGCCCCTGCAGCAGTGGTTGCCTGCAGTGTGATTTCTTGGCTCTCTGCAAAGCAAAATCCAACAGTGCTTCTACAAAATGTGCACATCGCTGAGCAGGGGAACAAAGAACCTGGAGGAAATGGAGAGCAAGTGAAAAATGCAGTGTTGTGCAGCTGTGGTGAATGCTGAGCTCTTGCTGTCTCACCCATCCCGTCATCCACAAGAATCATAGAGTCATAGAACTGTTTGAGTTGGAAAGAACCCCTGAAGGCCGTCTGTTCCCACTGCCCACAGTGCACAGGGACACCCACAGCTCCATCAGTGCTCACAGCCCCATCCCCTGACCGTGGCCATGTGCAGGAATGGAGCACCACCAGCTCTCTGGGCACCCTGTGCCAGAGCAGAGGGACAAGAGCACCTCCCCCACCCTGGTGCCCACACTGCTTTGGTTGCAGCCCAACCAAATCGTTGGCTTCAGGGCTGTGAGGGCACACTGCTGGCTCACCTCATCCAGCTGCCACCCACCTGTACCCACAAGTTCGTTTGGGTACAGCTACACTCAACCCTTTCATCCCCTAGCTTGTACTGATTGCAAGGGTTGCCACGACCCAGGTGCAGCCCTCGCGCTTGAATTTGTTCAACTTGATGGGGTTCACCTGGGCCCGCTGCTCAGCCTATCTAGGTCTCTCTTTACTCATCCATCCATCCAGCTGGGACCCCCAGGTTGGGCCCGGCTCTGCGAGGGGCGGTGGCGGCAGCTTGCGGGGAGGAGCCGGGTGGCAGCGCCCCGCCCGAGGGGCGGCCCGAGCCGAGCCGGGGTGCGGAAAGCCGAGGACAAAAGGTGCCCGGGGGATGGGAGCGGGGGTGGCCCCGAAAGGGACCGGAATGGGACTGGAGCGGGGCGGGACCGCGCGGTGCTGGGGAACGGCGGTGGGGCTCGGTCGGGGCGGTCCCGCTAAGGGCTGGGGCGCTCTCACCGCGCGCGGATGTCCCTCTCCCAAAAGGCTGGCTTTGGGATCCCGATTGGTGCCCCCGAGCTGGGAGCCCTCTCCTGGCTCCTTTCATCCTGCGATGTGTCTAAGTAGGAAAATAATGGTCATCCTCGCACGTGTCCGTCTTGTGCTGCGCAGGCAGCGGTGACGCGCTGAAATTCGTCATTTTGGGACAGAGGGAGTGGGGGCAGAGGGGTGCCAGCTGGGTGCCAGCCCTGTGCCGGCAGCCGTCCCTGCATCCAGCGCTTCCGTGTCCCCCAAGGTCACCCACAGCCGGAGCCCAGAGATAGAGCAGCGCCGTGCCCCGCAGCACAGGTGGGTGGAAGGAACGGGATGGTGAGGGCACCGCTGTGTGGGGACACGGGGAGGGGTGGCCTGGCCCTGTGTGACGCTGTCCCGTGAGGGTCCTATGGGCCAGACCTGCACGTGGGCCGGGCTGCGGGGTGGAGAGCGGCTGCAAGGCCACCTGTGATGTGGGACAGCGAAGGGGGGGTGGGGGGAGAGAGAGAGGGGGGCAACAGCCCCAAGTGGGGCTTCTCTTTGGGGAAACACTGCCTGAGGTGCGGAGTCCACCCTGGGAGCACCCGACCTGCAGCACTGCGTTGTGCCAGGGTGAGCCTGCCTGCGGTGTTTGTTCTCAGTCTCCATTTCCTGGGTGCCACCAGGAACAAGGAGCTGGCGGGCGGCTGCAGCGCTGCGCACACACTGCCTGCACCCTCTGCCTGCAGCCATGAAGCTGAACGAGCGCAGTTTGGTGTTCTATGCCACCTGCGACTCCCCGGCCGACAATGCTGGATTCCTCTTCAAGCGTGGCGAGCGGCACACGGCGTACCACCGCCGCTGGTTCGTGCTCAAGGGCAACATGCTCTTCTACTTCGAGGAGCGTGAGAGCCGTGAGCCAGTGGGCGTCATCGTGCTGGAGGGCTGCACTGTGGAGCTCTGCGACTCGGCCGAGGAATTTGCCTTCGCCATCCGCTTCAGCGGCACCAAATCGCGCACCTACGTGCTGGCAGCCGACAGCCAGGCGGCCATGGAGGTGTGGGTGAAGGCGCTGTCGCGGGCCAGCTTTGACTACATGCGGCTGGTGGTGCGGGAGCTGGAGAAGCAGCTGGAGGAGATGCGGTGGGGCTGCCGGCACGGCCCAGCCTGCTGCAAGGCACGGCCTTTGGAGATGGAGCACTCCCTGCCCGCTCTGCCCACGGTTCCTCCAAAGGAGAATGGCTGTGCGGTGTGGAATAATGCGCCTGGCATGGACCAGCTGCACGATGGTTGTGATGATGACACCGACCCACAGCCACCTCCACTGCCTCCACGCCGGCGAGCATCCAGCGGTGACACTGGAGCAGCTGAGACCTCAGTATTCTGCCGGTTGCATGAGCATTATGGAAAGCAGGTGGCCCAACTGCGGCAGGACTGGCAGCACCGGCAGTGCCAGCATCGGCCCTGAGAGGCCCTGTGGGCAAAGAGTCCTTGGTACAACCTCAGTCCCCTCTAGAGGACTCACAGCTCCTGGGGATCAAGCACTGAGCTGGGTGCGCTGGGACCTCCAGATGCAAGGATGCCGGGGAGAGTTTGGATGGGTGTTGCACTGCCAGAGGGCTGGAACTGCCTTCACCTGCTCGAGGCCAGTTGAGCCCCATGGCATTCGTCTGCTCCAGCAGGATGTGGTTTGTAGAACAAATGCATGGGCGCTATCCTAGCAGCACAGTGCCAAGCACAACAGCCACCGTGGCCTCACGTTTGTGTGCTGCTGCCACCCAGCAGGATCCTGGTCCTCCAATTCACCATGTGGCGGAGTTGCCTCCACCCAACCACATCCTCCAGGGCTCCAGGACAGATATTTTTGGAGCTGGTGTCACCCCTGAGCTGGCTCACAAAGGGGAAGTGTCACAGCAATGAAAAGGAACATGCATGTCAGCAGCGGAGGGAGCAGAGTGATTCACATGCACAAGCAGAGCGTGGCTGCTATTGGAGCCCTGGGGTCTCATGCAGACATTTCTCTGGTTTGTATCCGTTCTGCTGGCCCAAGGACTTTGTGACAACCCAGCTGGTGCAGCGACTGCTGTAGTCAGCCAACCCACCAGCTCTTCATTCACTAAAGCTGTTGAATCCCTCCCCTCCTGGATTTGTTTCCCAAATCTTGGAGCAAGAGGAACGCTGTGTTGGGCCAAATGGCCGCATCTTCATTTGACTTCTCAGAACTGGCTCAAGTTCTTTTTCTGCAATAAATATTGCTTCAGGAATTTCCTCCTGGCCTCCTTCTCATTTGCACATTTGGTTCATTTGGGAAAGTAGGTCCTGGAGCACCCTTGAGGGATGAGGTTGGGGATGGGATTGGGGGTGGAATTGGGGGTGGAATGGGATGGTGTGTTTTACTCAGGGGGCATCAGGACATTGTGTTGGTCCCATGTAGGGGCAGCATAGCGACTGTTTTGGAGTGACAGAAATCACACAGCAGAGTCCAGAAGGCCTCAGATCTGTGTGGTTGTGCCTTGGAAGCTGCTCTGGTGAGGACAGGGATAAAGCAATGAGCTGTCCTCCCTGCTATGCGCGCGTGCACAAATGACTGTAGCAGTGCTAAGAGCAGAAGTGTTATCAGATGGAAGTCAGATTGTCTGCCAACAAGCTGCGGAATTTATCTTTTCCCCAATAATCTGAGGCCCAGCAACCAAATATTTCATTAGCTCTGGCATTAACTAAAACCTGACTCATGGGCAGCACCCTGTGGTGCCCCTTGGTCCCCAGTCCTCTACCAAGGCTGGGAGTCACTGAGGCAGGACAATATAGCCATCCCCTCGCTGGGGCTGGTGGTAGTCTCACACAGGGAAGGGGACCCTGCTGTCACATAGGTGGCACTGCCATCCTGCATGGCATTCTGGCTCGCAGAGGGCAGCCGAGGTGACGTCTCTCTGCATCCAGATGGAGAATGAAGCCTTTGTAGTTTCCATGGCAGCTGGCCGAGCTTTTCAAGGTGTTCAGATATTCATTAAAAATAAATCCTTCCCAACTTGTTAGTCGACAAACAAGCTAAAATAGATACGCAATATATGGATTTATTAATTCATCACACACCAACCTCCCTGCCTCGTGGTGGTAGCTATAAAATCACCGGGTGATGCTGAGGTAAGGTCAGGAGGCTCCCAATGGAAGCCAAAGTGGACACAACCTGAAACCAAGCACCAGGGAAGCATGCTGCTCTTGGGGCAAGACTGCACCCTGAGCTGGACCGACCCCATAAACATCCCCCTTCTTCCCGATGGAGTGACATTGATGGCTGCAAGAGCCCCAAAACCCAATGCAAGGGTGAAACTCAGTGTGAGCCACTGCTGCAAGTCTCAGTTCCTGCGAAGAAACACACCGCAACGCCAGGAGTCTTATCCAACTTCTGTATTTAGTGGCTCTTTACAGAACTTGTTCCTTCCAAAATTGTTAACAAAGTTCATCGATCTCATAGAAACTTTTGAAGTACAGTACATGAGCCTATAACAAAATGTGATCAGTATGTCCCACTAGCTTTTAGTACAACAGGATTTCCATGTTCCAAAGACTACCCTAAGTGCTTCATCAAATCCCGTTCCACTAAAGCTAACACAAGCACACTACGGAGAACAGTCGGCAATGGGTACACCTTGGCCTTCGGTGGCGTGGTGGCAGCAGGGTGACCTCAGGGAGCTCGTGCTAGTGCAGAGCCGAGATTGCTTTTGGAGAGCCCAATAGGTTTGCTTTTGAAATTGCTCCCTGACTACCACCAGAGTACAAAAATACCTTCTATTCTGATAAAAATGTCTACAGTGGAAAACAAGTCAATGCATAGCCTCAGAGCTGGCATCGAGCTCTCCCCCACGGCCCCGCAGTGCCTCTCATCAGGTGACAGATGGTGGAGAGGGTGGCCAGAGTGTGGCATGCCACATTCTTGGTGCTTGCAAAATGCATTGAGAAACGGAATGGACAGGAAACATTACAGGACACAATCCACCCTCCTCTTCTAAAGGCATTTTGTTAGTTGGGGCACTGAGATGGGAACACTCCAGGGACCTGATTTGGGTGTTGGAATGCCACCACACCACCGCTGTGGCTTTGCACTAGGTCAGTAGCAAGGCACCACTGTGCTTTGCCCAACTTAGCCCCAAGCACAGTGTAGGGCAGGAGCATGTCTTGACACTCCATGTCCCAGCTCATTGAGACATGCTGTAGTAGCCACTGCTTGGGGACACAGCCATGACAATAGGATGCAGTCATGGCAAGGGGACATGGCCATGACAATGGTTCACAGCCGCAGAAAGAGGGCATGGCCATGGCGAGGGGATGCTCCCCCTGCCCACATTCCAAAGCCTCCAAACCAAAAAAGTGCTTCAGCCCCCAAAGCTGCACATGGTGCAGGGAGAACCCCGAGCAGGGCACGTTCTGGCTTTTTGGAGTCCCTAGGCACCAGTGATTTCATTTTCCATATGACAGTAGAGCATGGGGACCCCAAATGCCATCCCCAGCCAGCTGGAGCTGCCCCAGGTGTCAAACCCAGGTACCTCTTCCCATCACCACCACAATCAGAGACAGCTTGCTTCACTTGGGTCTGTTCTGCCTTTTTCCCTCTTTTCCAGTGCTGTCATTGTTGAGGGCCAGCACCAGCTGCTGACTCGAGGGAGCGCGAGGGACCGCATTTGCACCATGCTACGTCTTGTTCCAGAAGGCTATTGCAGACATTTCTACAACATATACAACTGCACGTGACATTCTGTGTTACAAAGGTTTCAAAAACATACCACCAGAACTAAATACATACTCGATGGCATCAAGGTTTCTGATTTAGAGTCTTCATGGACTATAACACAGTCTCTGGATGGGGCAGAAGCGATGCAGTGTCTTACAGACAGATGTGGAAAAATGCTATGCAAAAGTTTATTAAATTTGGTCAGTCTCATAGTGCTTCTTGATGGCTTTGCTCAGTAAGTCTTTTCTGTGGGTTTTTTTGTTTGTTTGTTTTTAATCTCATCCAGTGGCAAACTACAAGACTTCAGTGTACATTTAATGACACGACTGCTACATCATCTTGATTTTATAGCTATCTTTAATATCAAAGCAGCTTAAGCTGTTAATAAATTCCAAAGTATCCTTTTATTAAAATATCTAAAAGAGGTCTATAAATATTTTTCTTTTTCTTTTTTAAAATCGTTCCCAGTTTTTCACATTGAAAACAAAGCTGGGGGAGCTTCGTGGACGCCTTTGCAGGGTCCACCTCTCGGTGCGCACTGAGTTTAACAAAATATAGAGATGTGTGTGTCTGCAAGGCAGCTCAGAACTCCCACTCGAGGACCTCCTCGCGGTTGGCAGCCCGCTCCAGGCGGTGGATGATGTTGTTGAGGTTGGCCATCTTCTCGTGACGTCGCTGGACGCTGGTGCTGAGCCGGGGACATGGGGCTGGCGGCAGTGCCGGTGACACCGGCCCGGCAGAGGATGGCCCTGGTGAGGCTGAACCAGCGAGGCCAGGCGAGGAGGCAGCGGAAGGCGAGCTGGGGGAAACCTCCAGGCTACAGTGGGATGAGTTGGCCGATGACTGCGAGCTGCCAGGGTCGGGATGGAGTGGTGGTGGTGGTGGTGGAGGACCTCCGGAGGCCCTGGCTCGGCCTCCCCGCCGTGGGAGGCTGCCGGTGCTGGGGGCAGCAGCACGGGGGGCTCCTCCTCGCTCCTCCTGTGGGGGCCCAGTGCTTTCTGCTGTCCCGGCTGGGCTGCGTGAGTCCCGCCGGCGGCTCCAGCTGCCCACCTCCCCCTGCTCCTCTTTCACCTTCACCTCGCCAGTGCAAGGGTGCTCGCCCCCACTGAAAAGGGGTTTTCGGTCCTCAGTATCTGAGTCAGGGCTGTGTGGGGCCCTAGGCCTTGGGCCGGCTGCCCCACCACTCTGCTCTGGGTCCGTGTCGTTGTCTTGCGTGCCTTCCACCAGCATCTCCCGGCGCATCCGTGACCTGTGGGGCACAAACACGGGGTGTGAGTGATCATACAAGTTTGGAAAAACATCAACAGGCAGGAATTGTATTGAATGCTTCAAACATAAAAACCCCAACTTGTCATTCACAGAATGATGGAATCATAGAATCGTTAATGTTGGTAAAGACCCCTAAGATCATCATGTCCACACCCAATCTACCCCCACCTTGAATCACAGAAATCACAGTCATCATTGCTGGAAAAGACCTCCAAGATCATCCAGTCCAACTGCCCGCCTACCACCAATATTTCCCCACTAAATCATGTCCCTTAATACCACATCTAAATGTTTCTTGAACACCTCTAGGGACAGTGACTCAATCACCTCTCTGCGCAGACCATTCCAGCATGTGACCACTCTTTTGTAGAAGAAGTCCTGAACTCCTCCTGGTGCAACTTAAGACCATTACCCCTCATCCTTTGGGCTCTTTCTAGCTTGCAGTCTTCCAAACTCAACCATTTTTGTACATATTTTCCCCTACCTCTTTTTTTTTTTTTTTAGATATCACTATTTGAAGACATATTTCAGGGTTGTTTTGTGCTGTTTCAGCAGCATCCATACCTGTAGTTGTGGAACCAGTTGATGACGGTGTTGGTCTTGAGGTTGAGCTGGAAGGAGAGCAGCTCGATAGTCTGCTGGGAGGGATAGGGTTCCAGCTGGTAGGCTTTCTTCAAGGCTTCCTTCTCTTCAGGAGCCAGCACCACCCGTGGCTTCTTGATCTGCAGAAGGCTGAGGTCCTGGGGCTGCAGGCCGGGACTGGCACACTCGGAGCGGGCGCCTGGGGACTCGCTGTCTGAGCCGGCACTCATCAGCCCATACCGGCGCTTCAGGTAGGCTGCAGGAGAGGAGACGGAGCTGCGCGCCGCTCAGCCCCCTCCGCCCCACTCATCCACTGCCGCCCAACCCCCATGCTCACCTTTCTTCTCCAGCTTCTTCATGTCACGCAGTTTTTCGACGTTGTGAGGGTCATTGAGCCAAAGTTGCATGCGGACAAAGGGCTCCCTCCCCTTCAGGCTCAGCTTGTGCCATGGCTTGGGCCTGGAGAGGAGATCGGACACCGAGCCTTGCGTCAGGCCCAGGATGCTCTCCCCAAACAGCCGCTGGCCTGGCAGAGGAGAAGCAGAGGTGGTTAGAGAGGGACGAGTCGCACCACTGTCCAGCCAGCCACGTCCCAATCACCCTGCCACCCTGTCACCATGTCACCCATCTGCTTGTCAACCCACAACCCCATCACCTTATCACCCCACCACCCTTTTAGCTCATCACCATGTCAACCCATCATTCCACCACCCCATCACATCATCACCCAACACCCTGCCAAAAGCCAGTCAGCCGGGAACCCACTCGCCTCACCAGCATCTCCCAAAATGGCGCTCGCACCTAAATTGTTGTCCGTCAACACCTCCTTGACCTTCTTGGTGATGGAGTAGGTGTCCAGCTCGGGGGACATGGCAACAATCTCCTGGATGCCCACAGGGCCTTGGCTGTTGGGGTGTGCTTTGCCTGCCACCACTCTGCTCTCAGGCTGCTGGTTTTCCTTGCTGCTCTCCAGGGCGAGGGTAAGGGGCTCTTGCGATCCCTTCTCATGCTCCGTGGGGCTGGGGGGTGGCGAGGGGGATGGCTGTGGTTCGGCAGGGCTAGCTGTGTGGCACCAGGGAGAGGACGGGTCAATGGCACTGGTGGGAGGGCACTGTGCAAACCCAATAATGGGCCGTAAGGATGGAATGGGTTGAGGGAAGGGATGGCAGCAGGAATGTGAAGGTTATTTTTATTATTCATCTGTTATTTATTATTATTTATTATTCCTGAAAGGAGGAAAGTCAGCAGAGCCTCTCCGGCATCTGTGGCTGAGCAGGAGGCAACAGCAGAATAATTAAAGAGAGAAAACACAATATTAACATAAAAACCCAACTACTTTTCTATTCCAGGCACAAAGCCAAGGATTTTTGTTGTGTTTTTCCTTTTCTTTTTTTAACTAGATGACTTTCAAAACCCATTTCTGAGAAAATAACATTAGAAGGAGCTGTGCAACAGCCCTATCTTGTCTAACATACTAATTAAGCGGGGTTGAAATGAACTGGATGTATTGGATGGGCGGCTTTGGACTGAAGGAAGAATGGGTGATGTCAAGTAGCCTGGAGCAACTGCTGGTGCTGAAGTGATGCTGTATGGGATGAGGACATGACCAAATCCTCCTGTCTCAGGATGCGGGAGATGGATGGGAATGGTATTGGGATGTTTATGGAGCAAGGGATGCGGCGGCGGCAGCACTTACCCTGGGATGGGGTCGGCTGCTGGCTGATGCCTTGCCCCAGCTGGTCCGTCAGCCAGAGCTGCATGCGGATGAAGGGCTCCCGTCCCTTCTGCGTCAGCTTACTCCACGGCTTGGGCCGCGACAGCATGTCACTCACACTGCCCTGGGACAGGCCCAGTACCTGGGTATGGTGCAGGCATTATGTACTGGGCTGCTGCCTGGCCATCGTCCCTGCTGAACAGGAAGCGAGCCCGGCCACGCTGGGGCAAGGAGCAGGATGGGTGGAGGGGACAGGGCTTGCACTCACACCCCATGGTATGCCCAAATCCCTTGGTCCCAGTGCTTGGTGCAGGTGCTGGGATCGCCCTCAGGGCTACCCACTGGGTATGGGTTGTGGGGACAGCACATTCCCTGTGGGCAGTGCCACCAACCAATTGGTGGTGGCCATCAGGAGACTGTTGGGTTGGGTTGGACATTGAGGACTCTGAGGGGAGCCCTGTGGCACAGTGAAGACCCTGGCAGGAGGTGCTAGAGGACATCAACCAGCCCTGGGTGCTGAGATGGACAATTCCCACCCCACCGAGGGGACACCAGACTCCATTCCCCAAGCCGGTACCTTCTCTCCAAAGATCCTCTGGCAGATGCCATTCTTGGCCAACTTCTCCTTGACCTGCCGGGTCAGCTCCAGTGTGTCCACCTCCCTGTACATGTACATTTCATACTGCTCTGGTGTCAGCGGAGGCACGGTGGGCTTCAGGGTGCGCGGTACATAGGCAGGGTAGTAGGACAGCCGGCCACCAGCTGCCGGCTCCATGCCAGCACCCTCCACCTTCATCTCTGCTAATCGGTGTGGCTCATCCTCAGCTGCCGGCAGCTCATCCTCATTGGCGCCACTCTCAGCAGGCTCACCCCTTGGCCAGCCTCGTCCATTGGCCATGCCAGAGTAGCTTGAGGAAGAGGAGGAGAGCGAAGGCGAAACAGAGGTGTAGGGTCGGCTGAGCAGGCTGCGCTCTGACGCCCAGTGCTGGTCGAAATAAGAGCCAGCATCACCAATCTCCGACTTCACCTTGCGGATGATGCTCTGCACAAAGGCAGCAGGCGAGAGGACAGCAAGGGGCGTCTGAGGGGGGCCAGGGCTGGCCCCGCTGCCCTCCTCCTGCTTGACGTAGGCTGGGACGATGTTCTGGCTAACGGTGGCCAAAGTGGAACGCTCAGTGGGTGGTGTGCCCCCGGGCCGCCCGCTGCTCCCTGCCTCCATCTCCAGCAGTGCCTGCTGCTGCGCCTGCATCTCCCGCCGCGCCTGCTCCAGGATGCTCTTGATGGCGTCCTCTGAGCTGCTGCTACCCGCCCCGTTGGTCACCGCTTGAGATGTTGATGGGTTTTTGGGCTCACCTGCAAAGAGGGGCAATGAGGGGAACCGCTGGGTGCAGAACTCATAGAGGTGCTGGCTAGGAGCGAGGGAAGGTTTTGACATTTTCAGTTTTGTTCCTGCCCTGCTTTTGGCTGGGATGGAGTTAATTTTCTTTCTAGTGGATAGTATGGCGGTGTATTTTGGGATTAGGGTGACAGTAACACTGATAACACACATATGTTTTGGCTGTAGCTGTTCAGAGCTTACACTTAGTCAAGGACTTTTCAGCTCCTCAAGCTGCCCTGCAGTGAGGAGCTGGGGGTACACAAGGAGGTGGGAGGTAACAGAACCAGCACAGCTGACCCAAACTGGCCAAAGGGATGTCCGATACTGCATTGGCACCATTCAGAACAACAAAACTGGGGGCAGCTGGCCAAAGAGGCTGGAAAGCAGCCATGACATTCCTGCACCTAAGTGTGATTACATTTTGACAACTGTAAAATAAATCCCATTACCAACGATGGCAATAAACATGTTTGTTTTCTCTGTTTTTCCACCATTCCTGTCTAATGTAATCCTCCAGGATTCTGCCTTCTCAGCAGACTACCCATTTTAATGTATTTCATTTCTTGTCATTGACTGTGAGCAGAACTGCTTTAATGATTCCTCACACCATGTGGATCGTGTGCTCTCATTTAATTATCTGTTCTGGGAAAGGCAGGATGGAAAAGTTAAGTCCAAAGCTTCTGAAAGCTCAGGTACAGGGCGATGTGCAATTGTGCATGAGTGTTTTGTTTCCAGCAATATTTACCAGCAGTTCTTTCCACCATATCCCAAATCGCTATGGATGGCGATGAGAGAAATGGCCAAAAAAGACCCATTTTGGCTAGTGCCACGCGTATGGATGGGGGAAGGTAGGAAGCATTGCCAGCTCCTCACAAGCACCCTGAGGTCTAAGCCTTGTTTCTGGATGGCATGGCCCAAGGATATGTGGCCTGCAGTCTCCAAACACCTATAGACAGAACGCACCTCCCTTCTGTGACTCAATCTCCTTCTTTGCCTGCTCCAAGATGTTTTTGATGGCATCGTCAGAGCCAGTTTCTGGCGTTCTGATCCTCGGCGTGATGCTACCTGATCAAAGAAGCATGACAACAGATTTGTCACCAGCGCTGGTTCTACAAGCTCCACTTGTATGTCAGAAAGCATTTACTGTTGCTCATGTTTAGTTATTTTTAGGGATGCTGGATTTAAGGAAAACACCACTATTCATTAGTTGCCAGCCCCTACTGACAGCTCTTGCCTTCAACGCAGCATCACCTGGCAGAGGACATATGGGATCAGATGCCACCATGGCAAATCAGAGCATTGCTGAGGAGCCACTGTTCCCAGAGCCAGGAGTTATTTCATGATGGTGACAACACCGTACCACAGTTCTGAAGTACTAAAACTTGATTATTTTAACAATATATTCCAAAATGTTGATTTGTATTCCACAAAACAGCCCAATGGAAGACTAAATGAGTGAAACTCATCCAGGGGCACACTTTCAGTTATGGGTTGTGGCATTTGTGCCCCATGGACAGCAGTACCTGGGGCCACTAGGGACAACCCTTGAATGCCATGGGTGACTCCACAATGTCCCTATCCATCACCGTGGGGCTCAGATGTGAGTGCAGTGGTGGCACAGGGGCAGTTCAGGGCAGCACCTGGCATTGGGGCCACCCCACCACTCACCTCTCTGGCGCACCTGGATAGTCCTCAGAGCCAGTACATTCTGCTCATCGGAGAGAAACTGCTTCATCTTGATGAACGGCTCCTTGCCCTTCACTGTCAGCTTGCGCCAGGGCTTGGGCCGGGCCAGGATCTCACTGACAGAGCCCTGTGACAGCCCCAGCACATAGTGCCCAAAGACCCTCTGCCCAATGTTGTGCTTCAGCAGTTGTTCCTTCACCTGGAAGGCGATGTCGGCTGTATCCAGTTGCTCCTCGTCAGCTGAGCTGCCCCCGCTGCCCTCAGCAGGCTCTTCAGGAGGGCTGGTGGTGGGTGGAACAGTGCTGGGGGGCACAGAGCTGCTTTTGGCTCCGAAAAAAGCAGTGGGGAAGGACAGTCCCCCTCCAGCACCCTCACTCTTGTAAGGGGACCCCTGTAGTGGAGGGCCCTTGGGGAGTAGTGCATCCCCTGGGAGCCGCTCTCCTCCTGGGAAGGGGGACAGTGGGAACGTCCGGGGGCCTTCGGAAGCCAGGCCAGGGCCAGGTACAGCTGGGAGAGGAGTGGGAGAGGTTGGCTCATCAGCCGGCGGGTGCGGGAGCTGCTGGGGGGACGGGAACGCCTGCTCCATGCCCAGTGGGTCCTTCCCCGACTCGTCTTCACAGGGATCCTCCTCTAGAGATGAATGAGAGAGACAGACATGCACTATAGTCCTGCTGGCTAGATGCTCCTGCATCAGTTTCCCTAGCTGGAAATCCCCCATCCCATAGGCAGGCTCTTTCTGAGCACCTTTCTGACTGAGTTATGGTGAACATCATAACTTTGACCATGGTGGTCATGCTCCAGGCTTGGACCTTTGCCCACACCAGAGTACATGCGGAGAAGCAACCAAGTGATTGGGCACAGATCGACAATAAAACTATATATATACAGTCTGATAGCAACAGAACAAGGGGGAATGGTTTTAAAATAAAAGAGGGGAGATTTAGGTCTGATGCTAGGAGGGATTTCTTCATTCAGAGGGCAGTGAGGCTCTGGCAGTGCTGCCTAGAGCTGTGGGTGCCCCATCCTTGGAGGTGCCTAAGGCCATGATGGGCTCTGGGCAGCTTGAGCTGGGGGCAGTCAGCACATGGCAGGGGTGAAGCCAGGGAGCTGTAAGATCCTTTCTAACCCAACCATTCCATGATTCTACAATGAATATGTGGACATGGCTCTTAAAGACATGGTTTAGCAAAGATCTTTGTAGAATTAGGTTGATGGTTGGATTTGATGACCTTGAGGATCTCTTCCAACCAACGCTTCTGCAACTTATGGCACATGAGGCAATGTGTGTCCACCAGTACCCTACCAGTGCTGGCCATCAAGCTGGGCTTCTCCAGCAGGTACTTCTGTGGTGGGTAGAATGCCTCCTTCCCCAGCAGCAGGGCCTCCTCCGGCTTCGACATGCTCTGCAAGGGGCAAAGCAGCGGTGGGCTGGAGCAGCGGGGCTCTGGCGGGGCCAGTAGACCTCCCGCATCCCACCAGGACGCCAGGCCCGCGCCACAGCACTTGCCTGGGGCAGGCTGCAGCTGGCGGATGCCACCTTCATGGCCTTCAGGATGCTGGGGGAGAAAGGAGGGGCGGTGAGGCAGGGGATGTGGCCTCGCAGCACCCAACCGCGGGAGCAGGCCTACCTCAGCTCTGTCTTGATCTCCTCGTAGTCTGCTTGTGCCTGCAGCTTCTCCTCCAGCTTCTGTGGAGGACACACTCATGGTGTGAAGCCAACACAGTCAGATCAGTGCCCACCCTGTGCCCACCCAAGCCCCCACACCTCAATGGCTTCGTTCTTGGCAGCCAGCTGTCCCTCTAGCTCAGCAATCTGGTTGGCGGAGGATTCCTCCAGCTCCTGCAGTGAGCTCTGGAGGTGCTGGATGTCCTTCAGGAGCCGTAGGATCTCCCGGTCCTTGGCAGCCAGAGCAGCCTCCAGCCTTGACCCTGAGCACATGGAATAGTTCGCTTTGTCCTGCTGGGAGAGGGTACAGCATTAGCTCCTGGCCACCCAATGCAGGGACATGGGGGCTGTCATTGGCATGGGGTGGAATAGACTCTTCCTCTGTCCTCAGAGGTCTTCCATGTTCAGCGGAATGCTATAGAAGTGCAAATTGCCCACCTTATGGGAGGCTGCTCCCCATAATCTTGCATGGGCAATGTTATGACCCAAGAGCAATGAAAAAATGCCTGGATCCTTCCTGCTTTGCTTCTGGGCTGCTCCCGAATGTGATGGAAACTGCTGAATGCAAAATGGTGCTCCCAAGCGCAAGAGAGTGCTCCTGGCTGCATGCATGGGGTGCTCCTGTCTATATGGGATGCTTCTGGCCATTATGGGATGCTCCTTATCATTATGGGTGCTCCTAACCTCTATGTTTTGCTCTGGGATGCAATGGGATGTTTCCAGCTGCTATGGGTGCTCCCAACCACGGTGGGATGCTCACAGCTGCAATGACTGCTTCCAGCCACTTGGGATGTTCCCAACCACTACAGGATGGATGTTCCCCAATGCTATAGGAGCTGCTCACCCCAGCAGCACCCTGAGGGGAGCAGCAGGCCAGACGCAGGGAGCTGTTGACAGCTGCCAGCTGCTCCCTCAAGCTCTCCACCTCCCTCTGTGCAGCCTCGGCACGCTGCAAGAGACCAGAAAGTGCATCAGAATGGGCACCCCCATGCTTGGGGCAGAACCAAATCCCAGCACCATGCCTGCCTCTCCTGAGTATCCAGCTCCCACCCCCTATTGGAAATTCTCAGCTCACCTGGTTGGCTTTTTCAAGATTGGTCATGATCATGGCCACTTCATCTGCCCTGAAAGAAGAAGCAAGAGGCATCAGATGGTACACAGAAACCAATCCAGAGGCAAGGGACACAAAATCAGTGGTTGGCAGAAGTCCTTCTAGGACAGCAGCAGAGACACACATCTTAGATTAGGGAGTGACCACAACTTTGGGTCTCTTCACACGCTCTGGGACTCACTTGGAGGCAGCCTCCTCATCATATTTACACCGTAGTTCCAGCAGCTCTGTTTGTGTCGCCTTCAGCGCTGGCAGTGGGGAAAAAGAGAGAAGACAGGGGTGAGACATGGGCTGGGGGGTTCAGCACCCTGTGGTTCCCACAGTCCATCCTTCCTACCTGAATGGAGCACCTTGATCTTCTCCTCGGCTTCCCCCAGCCGCATGGCCAGGGTGAGCTGGGCTTCTTGCAGCCCCCTGTGGAGAGAGGGGCATCAGCCATGAGGGTCAGATTTATGTAGTTTATGGTGCCAGTGGTAAAAAATCATTTCGGGTGGAAAATGGCAACACACATTGCTACAGAAGTGGAGAAGTGAGTGGCAATGCACATCACTAGAGAAACAAAAAACGTGATGGCAATGCATATTGCAAGGACAAGTGGTGTTGGCCTTAAGTTGCACCAAGTTGCATTCAGAATTTCTTCTCCCAAAGAGTGGTGAGGCACTGGCACGAGCTGCTCAGGGAGGTGGTGGGGACACCATCCTCAAAGGTGTTCAAGAACTATGGGGATGTGGCACTGAAGGATGTGGTTAGTATGCATGGGGTAATGGGTTGGGGTTGGACTTGATGACCCTAGAGGTCTTTCCCAACATTAATGATTCTATGATTCTATGATTCTATGATTCTGTGAGTGGACATGGCAGTGATGGGATGGTCATTGGATTTGATGAACTTAGTGGTCTTTTCCAAACATCAATTATTCTGTGATTGTACCAGAAAGGGGATGGCAACACACATCACTAGGGAAATGGAAGAGGAAATGGCAATGCACAACGCTAGCACACCCAGCACAGCCCCACACTCTACAGTTCCTTGACAACCCTCTGTTCTCAAAGGTGGTGTCCCCCAGACCCTGCTGACCCCATGGTACCCAGGGATGTTGTCCTATCTCTGTCCCTGCTTGATGTCCCCAAACAAGGAGCCAAGAAAGGAAAGCAGAAATGCTTCTGCACCGAAATGCAACCCCTCCTGTCATTAATTAGAGGGGGGAAGCAATCAGGGAAAAGTTATTCTGCATTATTTATAGCCCTTACTTGCCAGGAACTTACTCGGAGAGCTCTGCAATTTAGGGTTTAAAGATTCCTCGTTTGTTACGGGTGCAGTGCGTTAAGGAATAGCAATGAAGCGCTGCTAAGCGCGCCGCTGGGAAAGCCGGGAGCCTCACAATTAAAAGGCCGCTTAATGAGCTTCGTCCGCCAGCCTCGGTTTAAGCGATTTGCTCAAGCAACACCACGTGGCACACCCAGAAACTGCTGGGAGAGGGACAGACAGACGGACAGCACCAGGCAGGAGGTGCCACGGGGGTCCTTTCTTATATTCACGTACTTCTGCTTCTCTGCCTCATTTCTCTGCAGCAAGGTTTCAGCCAAAAGTGCTTTGCTGTCAATGTCAGGGAGCGTGGTCTCAGCCGCCGTGAGTCCTGCTGCTGGCAACGATCCTTCTCTCTGCTCTGCGGGAGGGACATGTGTCACATGGTTGTGTGCTTGGAAGCACACGAGGACATGGATGGGGAGCACTGATGTCACCCATGCACCATCAGCACTTTGGATACCTTTGGTGCCGAGGAGCTCTGGGTGCTTCTTCCAGGGGCAGCTGAGATCCTTCAGGGGTGGATTTTCGGGCTCAAGGCGCTGGAGCAGCACTGGAGCAGGGTCTGCAGGCAACAGCACTTTGTATGTCAGGGGCAGGGGACAATCACCAACAGTCCCATCCCACCTTCCCAAGCATGAGTGCCACAATCCTCATTCCTGCACCCTCCATGCCAAGGGCAGCAGCCAACTGCAACCTGCTTAAGACCAGGGATGGAACTCTTGATGCTACCCCATGTTTCACCACCATGTGCCACCATAGCCATCCCAATGGATGGAACCCTTAATGCCATCCCATGTGTCACCATCGTGTGCCACCACTGCCATCCCAATGGATGGAACAGAACCCTTGATGTCATCCCATGTGCTACTCCATGTGCCACCACCATGTGCCACCATCACCCTTCCAAAGCCCCCAGGAACTGAGCACTGCTAGGGCTGCATGCAGGATCTCATCCCCAAACGTGGTGGCACCACTGGCCCCGGTCTCCCCAGTCTGGGTGCAGACAATGGCAGTTTGTGCAGAGGTAAGCAGGTGCTTTCAGAGCCGTATGTCTTCCCTCTGTCAGCATTACACCATCATTAGCTAGTGTCTGCTCAGCAGGGTGTGCCATTATGTCTCCCAGGGCTGATGTAATTATACATTGACATAATTAACCCAGCAAGCCCATTAAGCAGGCCAGCTAAAAATTCATCTATAATTATTTGTTGTGTGCATGCTAATGAGTCCATCTGCACTGCCATTGTACAACATGAACAAATTAATTTACAAGTCTGGATTTTTTAATAAGTTCAAGAAAATGCCTCCTATTGAGCCAGGTTAATATAGGTTTGGGGTGCTTTATTTTTTTTTTTCCTTCGTGGAAAAGAGAGGAAATAGAATGGAATTCTCCAGGGTCAAAAAGTTAGATAAACAGGGAAGTGGGACGGAGCTGTGCAGTGGCAGGTATCCAAGGGGAAAGCAGCATAATGGAGATGGAAAAACCCCAATGTGCAACTGCCTCTGTGGGGAGTGTGGGTGTTTTTGTGTTATCTGCCCCAAATGCAGAGGGTTTGGCCTGCGGCCCTCCCTTCTAGCACTCAGCATGGATGTGAGCGGCAAAATGGGTCCGGGGTCCCCCAGGACACCACTGGACACTGTAGTGCAAATGCCATCAGTGCCACCCCTCCTGGAATGCTTTATGGGAGCTGGCATCAGAGCTCAGTGTCCATCCAGCTGTGAGCATGCTGCGGAAACCCGCCCAAGAATTTTGGGAATTGGCCCCTCCACCATACTGAGCCAAAGGGGATGGAGAGTGAAAATGCTCAGCACAGCCCCAGTGAGCGCTGGATGCTCTCCTGGCCATTAATAACACCTATAAGCAGACGAGCTAACGATGCGGGTAATTACACCCATGGCAGAGGGGCTGGGGACCCCCCTTGTGCTCCCCCCGGAGCCAGGGCACTGTCGATAAATGCTGGGGCAGTGCCGATGCGATGTGTGCTGGCAGCTCCACTCATCCCCATAATAAGAAATCACCCCAGAGCTGCTGTCCTATAGCCTCTCTCTATATATATTTTAATATTTCCATCTATATAATAAGTCCCACCACTAGCTGGCGTTATTGGATGTCATTTAGCAGCAGCAGTGCTGCAGCAGGAACTCCAATCTCTGCTGTGTCCCCAACCCTGGCACCATGGGGGCCTTTCTCACATCCCTCCAGCACCCCACAGCTGCCAGCAGCACCAAATGTCCTCAGGGAGCTGCAGCCAATCCCTGTGCCTTCTGTGCTGAGGACAAAGAAGAGCAGAGGGGATCCATAGAGCATCCGTGGTGCATCCAGGTGAATTCATGTGCATCCAGAGTGCATTTGTGGTGCATCTTTGGTGTATCCACATGAATCCACGGTGCATCCACAGTGCACCCACACTAATCCATAGTGCATCCATGGTGCATCCACACTAATTCACAGTGCACCCACAGTGCACTCACATACATCCACAATGCATCCATAGTGTATCTACATTAATCTAAAGTGCGTCTGCAGTGCATCTATGCTTCATCCATGTGCATCCATGGTGCACCCACACAAACCCATCCACGGTGAATCCACCTGAATCCACCCAGTGCATCCACACTAATTCACAGTGCATCCATGGTGCATTTGCATGCACCCATGGTGCACCCACGTGAATCCATCACGCATCCAAGCTGTACCCACATGTGCCCATGCTGCATCCTGGCACCAGCAGCCCTTACACCATGCTGACAACCCCTCATGCTGCCTCATCCCAACCTGCGCCACCCCATCCACCAGAGCCCTATGATACCCTCCGCACATCAACGCTGGGCTTAAATCAAATCATCCCCAACAACAATGACATTAATTACGCTTTTAACACATTTTACTGCTTCTCCCCCTTCCCTTCACGCCACATCTGTGTGAACAATATCCCAAAGATTTACGGTTTTCTCCCGTAATTACAGACACACAGCAGCTCACTTATCACAATTCTTGCTGAGCAATCAGGCTCCGTTACAGTCGCTGCCAGAGATTTGTGTTGACAGCAGCCATTCAGAGCAAAAACTGTCGAATCAGGACTTATAGTGTGCTTGGGAAGTGTTCGGCTGCAGAGAGACACACGGATGGGGACAGACAGGGACAGACACACGGGTGTGCACATATGAGCGCATGCAATTGCATGTGATTGCACAGGTGTGTATGCGATTGCACAAGCACAGGGAGAAGTGTTGGAATATGCAAATGCGTGCATGTGTTTGCATGGGTGTGTGTGTGATTGCCTGTGTTTGCAGTGGTGTGCATGTGACTGCGTGTGTGCTCTCTGTGCAGGTGACAGGGTGTGCAGGTGGGGTGCTGAGGAGGAGGGCAGGCCAGAAAGATAACTGGATCCTGCAAAGCGAGCTGACATTTGGTTCTTGTAGCACAGGATAAAATTTAATGAGGACAAAAATATGTCTCCCTAATTCCCCTAAGAAATCATTAAAACATTTTGTTATTCTTAAATGTCTGGAAAATGAATTAGCGGCCCTGCAGGAGCCCTTCCGTGCATCCTCAGCCCCTTGGAGCTCTCTGTCCTCAGGGATGGGCATAGCCCCAGGGCTGCTGCACAGCACTGTGCCTCAGTTTCCCCCCAGAGCTGCGTGAGGAGCCCCTGGAGGGGTCCCAGCCCCCACAGTCTGCTGCCAGGAGCTGGGGCTGTGTCATTTCACCCAACTTACCGTCAAAAAGACAACTGGGGATAGCCGCAGTGTTATTACAAGGGCTGAGCAAATGTATTCCTTTTCTAATGTCAAGATGCATTTGGCTCAGGGGCTGAAACACAGCGATGGCAAAAGCTGTTTCCACTTGTCTCTTCGGTTGGGATTTTCAAAGCAACATGCAAAGAGCGGACGTCTGCAGGGCCAGGGCCGGGCGCTGTGCCCCCGCTGCTCGCTGCTGCCTCCTCGCTATGCAGCCAGGTCACCGCCGCGGTCCTTACCTGGAGCCTCGATCAATTGCTTGCAAACGCTCAGGAAAGCCGTCTCAGCCTCCTTGCTCCTCTTACTAAGTGCAATCACCTGCAGGGAGATGGGAAAAGGGCGGTGAGGGCTGGGGCTGGAGGAGGGAAGGGCTCATGGGGATGGATGGGGGCACGGGATGGTGTCCCCGCTCGCATCCTGTGCACTGCCTTGGGCAGAACTCTTTGCGCTGCTGTAATGTCACGCCACTCTGAATCATTGATGCACTCTGAGTAAATGAAAATTATAATTTAATGCCGTGGCTTAAATAAGAAATAAGATTTCTGCCTGGTATTGTGCTGGTGTGACGATGCTCACCCTAAGGGAGGATGCTCACGGGGTCCCATACAATAGGACCAGAACTCAGTTCTCAGCTCAGTCCCCTTGTCCCCTCTGCCACTACTGCCACACTGTGTCTGCTGTTGGTGGGGAGGTGGGACACTGCCATGCTACCAGACCAGTGGTGCCTTCTTCTGCCCCATCCAACATTCATAGGTGAGAACCATTTTCTCCTGTTCCATTTCTCCATGTGCCACTGCCTGTTGGATGAGTTTCTCCAGCCCTACTCCATGCATGTCCAGGACAGGACTCCAATGGAACAAGGAGACCCCCATGAATGTCCCACTGTCCCCAAGAGCCAGGTCCTGGGGTGACCCCGTAAGAATGCTCCCATTTCAAAAAGCCACCAAGCCCAAAACTCAATCCCAATGCAGCCAAGGCACAGCACATCACTTTTTCCACTCTTCCCCTCTCTCATGGAGCTTGCAGCATGCTGCACCAGCCTGGATGCAAATTGCTTGTCATTCAAAATAAAAGCAAACTGCTCATTTGTAATTCAGCAGCCACCTGAGCAAAGCTGCCTTCTCCTTCCCAGCTCATGGGCACTGGAGCACAAAGATCATTTTTCTGCTGTTAAAATTGTATAAGTTGTGCTTTTTTTAGCATCTAATATACAAACGGACTTTCCTCTTTGCAGCTGAAGAGGAATTTCCTGTTTGCAGTTTCAGCATTGGCTTTGGGGCACACTGAAATTCTAATAATAAAGTTTAGAGTGGGAGGCATTGAATGGAAGGTGATGGGAGAACATCGTGTCAGGCACACTGTGCCCCATTGATCCAGCACTGAGATGGGCCCACTCAGATGGGCCAGGGCCCCAGATAGGCTGTTCCCATGGGTTTTATTCCTGATGTCACCTTACAGACACAATCATAGAATCATTAAGGTTGGAAAAGACCACAGAGATCATCCAGTCTAACCATCAACCCACCACCTCTGTGCCCACTAACCATGACCCTCAGTTCAGCTTTGGAGAAGGGGAAGATACAGGACCTTGCCACTTCCCTGGCATCCCCACAGAGGGCCAAGCACCTCAGTGGGAACTGCAGGAATAAGGAGCTCGGAACAGCTCTCAAGGATTTTGTTCATCTTGAGTCATAGTGTTTTGTTTCATTTCAGGTTTGGTTTTCTCCTGAAAACTACTACAGTGCAGAGGCAAATGGCCAAGCAAAACATCATTTTGGGACTTCAGAGCTGCCGAAAACGTTGGAAAACACTTTCATCAAAGTGAAACATATGGACATTTTCCAGGGATATCCCCTACTTGGGCTGCAGCCTCTCATTAACCACAGCAGATGCTGAGGATTCCACCTCATCAGCCCCAAAATTACACTTTTTGCCCTCAAACCCAACCCATCCCATGGGTGTGGTGGCTCCCAGTGTCCATCCCCTGGCTTTGGGTTGCCGATGGCATCTCTCAGCCTCAGCTTTATTTGTTAACAGTGAACCAACCACAGCAGATGGATTTTGAGCCAGCTCTGCTCTTTCAGCGTCCCACTAAACTTCAGGAAATGTCAGCGACAACGATCTGTAAAACTTCCCATGGCCTCTGGGATAATTTGGGACAATTCCCAAAACAGGCAGTAGGTGGGGTTTTTAGCAGCATGCCTAAAGCCCTCCAAGCTGAATAAATCCCCGTCAAGAGCAGCCCTAGGGGCACCAGCCCCAAACCAAGCTTCTAGGAAGCATGTTTGGCAGGAAAGCCAAATTCTCATTAATTTCTCTCTTCCCCCCCCCCGTTTCTCCTGCGGCACGGGCTCAAGGTGAGCGCGGCGCGGGAGCGGGGCGTGTGATGGATGACATTCCCGCGCCGGCTCTTTTTCATGGCTGGTGACTTTCCAGCAAAGCAATTATCACTGTAGAATGCGTAATAGCCTAATTAATTACTATTGTCAGGCTGGCCTCTGTGCCATGATTATACCTTACGAAGCCAACTTTTTAAACATTTGGAAGCAGAAATATTATTATAATTGACTGACAAAGCAGTGAAACTCCCCAGCCCGGCCGCGTGCCCGCATCCATACTGCGTGGGATCCAGCACATGCTCCTCCCCGAATCCTCGTATCAAGTGCGGGATAAGTATCAGTTATTTCCATCTAAATACTTGTGGCAGTGAAACACAAATGAGCTCTTTCTACGCAAGGAGGAACAGCTGTCGGGGGAGAAAGCAGCAGCAGAGACCCCAAATGTTGAAGAAAACTGATGAAAAAATACATTCAAGCTATTTTCTTATTCTTTTTTTTTTTTTTTTTGCTGATGGATAAAGAAGTCAGGGAGAAAAGTGGGAGGGAAGAGAACAGTCCCACTGCACGCACACCCAACCCTTCGTTCCGCTCCAACTCATTCTTCCAAAGGCAGAAAGCTTCCATCGCTTTCACAAGGCCAAAAAGCAATTCGCGTCAAAAAGATCAATAATATAAAAATAAAGCCTGAGAATTCTAGTTAAAGGGAACGCCATATAAATATGTTGTTCACGTTCATGATTCGCAGATTAAAAAAAAAAATAAAATGAATCAATATAAGTTCTTCAGATGATGTTATTTCTAATGAGAAATATACCGACACTGCTGCAAATAACTGCTTAACCGAGAAAAAGAAAAAGCATTAATAATTTACTTTATAATGCGCAGGCTATGAAATGAAAGAAAATTGCTGCTGGTTCTTAATTTTGTTGTAATACTTCCTGACAAGTTCAGTGACACTTTGGCAAAGTTCCTGAGAGCGGAGGACACCAATCTCAATGGGATTGGTTTTGCCCCTTGTCCTGCGCTGGCAGCAGTGGCATCACCCATTGGTGCTGTTTGGAGGTGCCAGTTGGCACCACTGGGAGAAGTTTCCCTTGGCCTTCATTTCCTGCATTTCCATCACCATCTCCATGGCTCCAAATATGCTATGTGGAGCGCCCAAGCCATCCCCAGTTGAGGCCCAACCTCAATTCCCAGCGCAGCAAAACCATCTCAAGAATGCTCTGCGTTTTCATCAACACAATTCTCTCTACGTATCTTTTTTTTTTTTTTACACTGCCAAGTTTAGACTTTTTCCCCAAATATATTTTTTCAGTGCGTTTGCTGACAGTTGGCGACTGTCAACCATCTGCTACCCGTGCGCGCGTCGGAGCGCGAGGCTGCAGCGCGAAGCGAAGGATGCCAGGCAGTGGGGACCAGAAACACCCCGCCGGGTGGGTTTATTCCCACATTTACAAGAAATATTTTCTTGCAAAAATATTCAAAACTTGCAAGTTGGGGATGAGGAGCTGCCACTGCCAAAACTAAAAATCACTGCAAGGCCCACGTCAGTGGAAGAGGTGGTCTGAAGAGGGACTTCAGATCACAGCACGATGCATTATTAGGTTTAATGCAGCACAGTGGGGATGGAAATGCAGTGATATGAGATCCCTGCTCGCAGCTGGGTGGATTTTTGCCAGCCCCGTACTGCCTGGGCTGAGGATGCAGTGTCCATCCCGCGGGACAGCAGCACGGGTGCATAAAGTCTCACCTCCAATTTAGCAGAACAAAACTTTTAATTTAGATGTTTTCATCCATCTATCAGAATTTAAAAAAAGAAAAAAAAAAAGAAAAAAAAGTAAGTTTAAAATAATGACTGTAATAAATGAAGGTAATTAATTGTAGTTTGTTCCTTTACTGTCTAGTCAGCTTAATTTTACCTTTTCATCTAATAATGAGAAAATAATTTTTGTGCTCTGAGGGTTAATGATATGTAACTGCAAGAGCTGCTAATTGCATGTTGCAAACTATTCATCAAAATCCCCATCTGCGCTACTTGATTATGTTTGCTAAATTATTGCTTTGAATTATCTTTCATAAAGCAACTTTTGTAATTAGCAGGGCTTTCGCTTTGCTCTTTTCTCCATTGCAAGGATATTCAAACTTGGTCCGTTTCAAGCTGTTGCCATTAAGCTGCCATCATGGGCAGCTTTTTGTGATTCTCCGACAGAGAAATAAACTGGCCTTTATCTAATCACGACGAAAAACAAAAGTCAGGTTTTCTCTCGGCAGGGACGATTTATTCCTTCCTTCAATCTCCCTCCTGGCCCCCATTTCTCCTTCCTTGAGAAAGAAATTACATAGGAAGGATGCAGGAGCCTAAATGTGTATGAGCTGCATTCCGAAATGGCAGAGAAATGGCAAAGGAACCCATCTACCACAGCACAGGTTAATATTTTAGAATTATTTTTTTATGCCCATTTACAAGAAGGACTAGAGAGGGAACTCATGCCATTCATCACTGCATTTTTATGGGCTCCTTCCCATGACGCAGATGATGTAGCGTCCTGCTCTCCCTGTAAATATTCATGGCGAGCACAAAGAGAAGTGCAGTTTGCAGGAAAAAAAAAGAAAACCCAAAAATTTAAGAGGGAGAAAAGGAAGGAAAAAAAGCTCCCCTAGAGAAAAAAAGGGGAAAGAAAAGTCCTCTAGGTGGGCTAATGCCTCCATGTGCAATCTTAGAGAGGCCAACATGAGGACTACGTGCATTGAGCGAGCATCACCCTTCGGCCCCATCCAGGGTTATCTGCACTGATCCAGCAGGTGATAGAGGGGCAACATCCACCCCACGGGTACGAGAAGAAATGACCCCTCCTGCCTCCAGCAAGGGCAGGTGAGACTCAGGTGGTGAATGGGGAGATGAAGCAGCACTTCATAGAGTCATGGAATCGTGTCTGGAAAAGATCGTCAGGTCCAGCCATCAACCCATTACCACTCACCTCA